TAAGGCCTTTAAAATCATAAAATAACGTATCATTTTTTGGATGCAAACTGCATTTCACGGCTGCAAATCACCCAGTTAAAACACCAACAATTATTTTCACCTTGCCGACAGTTTTTCACATTTATGTTTTCCCCTGCTGCCATTCGTAACAAGACGAGTGTTTTACGGCACAATACTGCGCGTACAGAGGGTTTTTCGCGTAAAGAAGGCAACATGACGACGACAATATAGGGCAACGAGAGTTCTTACGTTTGGATTATGTTGATACACCCCAGTCTACAGCTATGAAATCTCATAGGCGCTTCAAAAATACCAGAGACAGGATCGTTATTTTTATACTACCCTCTTTTGCTATCGAAAATCACACTTTATCCCACCGTATCTTTCACTCTTTGACGTTCTGGTTTATTATGGCGCTTATTTTTTTTGTTATTTTTCCAGATGTTCCCGGCATTTTCTTCTCTCCTTTACCCGGTGATTCTCGTTCATATCAAAGTACCTCTGATGTTATGCCGAGAAATAACCGTAGTCTCCTTTTTTGCCGGTGATTTTTTTTTCCACCCTCGTGTATATTGGCAACTGGGCAACAGGGAAAGTTCTCGTAGCCGTTTTCATGCATTTGCACCAGCAATTCACCGATTTTTTTTTCACAATTTCGCGTCGTGATTTTCCAACCGATCGTCCATACCTTCATTTTCCCCACTTTTTATTTTATTTATCAATCTTTACCTCGTTTTCTCGGTTGTTTCTTCTCACTTGGACGTGCATAACCATCTCTCCATCTCATGACATAGGGAGAGACGCGATAGGACAACCATTCCCATTAAACATTCAAAGGGGCTGTAAAAAAGAAGATGAATTTGCATCCCGCATTGCGACTGCGGTCCCACGGAAAAACATAAATAATTCAAAAGTTTTTACGCTGCCTCTGGGCTCCACTGGAAAACAGAGATGAGGAGTTGAAAAAATTCCTCGAATGACAGAGAGAGTTGAACAATTTGAAATGAAGGGAGAGCTGGATGAGAGACTGTGGCAAATTGTCAAATGACGAGATGGAAATTGGAATTGAAACAAACGCGGGCAACGAGAGTTGGTGAGTTGTTGCGATAATTCGGTGATAGCTGGGGGGGAGGAAAATTCCCCGTGGAAAACACTGGTTGACGATCTATTTATCTCGCAGAGTTATGGAGATACGGGGAAAAGCATATTTTCAGTTGGCAAAACTTGTCGCTGTCATGCCTCCTTACCTGTTGGAGTAAAATAGATCGTCAGGGTGTATTGTCTGAAAACCCCATCGCTAGAATGGACTTTCCAGTGGAATACTTTCTCGCTTCTCACTGGGAATTATTTTCGGTCCTCGAACCCCCGCGTTCCGCTCGTAAAATCGTCAAGAACGTAAATGCCTAAATTTACCGACTGAATTCCAGTTTTCGAGTTCACAAAATTGTCCATTTCCCCTGGTATAACCGATGGGAATGCAGTTTGCAGGTGGTTTCGTCCCTCTGCAATTAAATTTCAAACATACCAAGACAATTATTATACCCAATGGAATATTTCTCCCCCTCGCGAATTTGGAATATCTTCGATTCCCAGGGGTGGAAAAGTGGAATGGGGGTAGTTGGAGCAGGGACAGAGGCTCGATGAGGCAAAACTGTGGGGTTCTATTCGATTTAGCTGAGAATTGCAGTAGTTGGAATTTCGGTGAGAAAGTTTTACGTGCCTCGTTGGTCGAAAAAACTTTCGCGGTGAGGAAAACCCGGCGGTTGGCATTCGAGTAATAACGGAAAAGGTGTTACTAATTTTCTCATCCTCCTGCCTCGATTCCTCGTTACCTTTCATTCTGCCCTTCATACCGTGAAAAAGAGACTACAATTATGCATCGCAATGATAAAAGGCTGCAAATCACAAGGGGAGGAGTAATGAACTCCGGGAAATTTCAATAAGCCTGGAGTCGGCAAGCGATGGGAGAAAGCTGATCGCCGATCAGAGTTTGATTAGAAAGCGACATGGAAAATTATTCATGGATCGCTCATACCCTTTTGTAATGAGAGAATATATGAATATCAAACCAGGAAGAGGTCAAGGAAAGCTATCAGGAAAAATATTCATGGGTTGGATGGTTTGCGTTTTTCGGAAGAATTCTGAAAAGATCGGGCTGTCCTAATCAGGAGCTAATCGGGTTTTCCACGGTCAATGGCAATTGACCCCCTTTTTCCGTAGCAGAAAAAAACTGTTTTCAAACAGTTTCCCAACCTGGTCAGGACCTGTTCAGGACAAGCCAATTCCAACGCCATTGCAGTGCCCAAGATAAGCTTCACAAATAGTAGGAATCAACGTTCACCCGGCTAACAAATTCGATTTTGGCGAAAATCCACTGGCCCCGGAAAACCCGAAAATCTGACCCTTTTGCTAGGGCCAAAAAAAACGGTTTCGCAGTTTTCACTTTTTCCACATACTTTTGATAGTTCTGAATAGCCCGTCGCTTAAATAGTTGAAATCAACGTTCACCCGGCTAAAA